CGTACACCCCTGCTCAGGGCTTTGGTGCTCGTGCCTTCGCCAGGTCCAGTCTTCACCCAAACACCTGTCTTCTCTCCATCGCTCAGTCAGGTCTTCACGAACGTTACCAGAGCAGGGCGGCCCCTGGGGCAGAGAAGCGCCTTCCCCAGCCCTGCTGGAGGCTCACTCTGCTTTAGTTCCTCACGGCCTGTCATGTGCCAACAGTTGTTCGATTGTCTGACGGCCCCCCTGGAGCCTGGAGCGAAAGCTCCCCAGGTACTTGGGACTCTCCTCCGTGGCTGTCTCTCCAGCATCTAGAGCTGTGTCGCCAACACACAGATGCTCCATAAATGTGTTGAGTAAGTTGCTTTGCCAAGAGGGCAGAGAACACAGGGAGAGAACGTAAGCTGCCTGCAACAGCAGAAAGCCTGGGGAGGCTTTGGTCTTTCACTGCCTGTGGGACCTGACGGCGGTGACCCCCACTGCCTGTGGGACCCCAGGGGGGTGACCCTCACTGCCTGTGGGACCCTAGGGGTGACCCCCACTGCCTGTAGGACTAAGGCAGGTAGGCCCCCAGGAGACACATGGGTAAAATGTGGAAAGTTCAAACAGGAGCTAATGAAGTGGAAGCAGAGGTAGGCCGGGTATCCTGCCTCCACCATTTTCCTCCTGGCTCTTCGGGCACCGCATCAGAGCAAACCCTGGACGTCCCCACATTAGCTGCACCACGGCCTATCCGGTCTCTGGGACCGACAGAGGATGAACCCTGAGACCCCTCCCACTGGAAGAAAGGCCTCTATTACCCTCCAGAGAGGGGCTGGAGGGCCTGCTGTGGGGAACCCAGGGACCAGTCTGCAGGCATGGGGGAGACTGGCTCTCTGCATGGGTGGGGTCAGTGCCTCAGAGTGAACCTATGACAAGTGTGGGGGCCTCTGTTCGGAGGGTCCCAGATATGTCATGCATGGAAAGACGAGGGCATTCTCCCAAGGTGTTCACCTCAGACCTGTCAGAGCTGCCATCTTTGATATCTGGTGTTTGGTTCCATCCTGTGGGATATACTCCTAATAAGGAAGAGGAGAGAGACAAACAATAGTGAGAGAGGAAACAGGAAAGAGAGACAGTTTGGGGGAGGAGGAGAGACAAAGAGAAGAGGCAGAAGGAAAAAGGCACGGAGAGAGGGAATATGAAGAAAAATCCTCAGAACAGGAGATGAGGGGAAGAGATCAAGACAAAGAGAGAATCGGGAAAGAAAGGAAAGCCAGAGAGGACAAGAGACAGAACAAAACATCTGGAACGAAGAAGTTATGTCAGCAGGACAGGCTTGTTTTGGAACTTGGAGAGGAGCCTTCAGACCACGTGTTCTGGAACCTCCAGTGAAGAGCCCTCTCCTATTGCCGGCTCCTTAGGGTGTGGCTCCCTTGTGTTCTTGGGAGGAGTCCTCAGTCCTAGATGGTGAGCCTGGGATGGGTGGGTGCTCTGTGTGTCCAGCTACTAGTCCTTAAAAACTGAGGCTAATGACTCCAGCGCCTCCCTGGGCTCCATCCTTCCCTCTGCTTGGGAGGATCTGCTGACTCAGAGGGTCAAGGAGCCAGTCTTAGAGGGGTCAGGAAGTAGGACTCAGGAGTCTGTCCTAGGGACTTAGGTGGAAGGGAAGGGCCTCCAAAGAGAAGAAATCTATGACATCAACCCTGGGGAGGTTTCAGACCTATGGGAAAGAGCAACTGTCCAGTGTGGGCTGTAGCCCCCAGAAAATTTGGCCATAGCTCCTGGAAGTCCTAAGGCCCCTAGCCCAGAACTGCCCCCAAAGGAGGACCTGTTTACTTTTACTTCCTTAGCTTTCCACTTGCCCTCTGGACCTCTGTTCCCAGGAGGGGGATCTACAGGAGTTCAGTGTCCACCTGCAACACCATGTTACCCTTTCAGAAAAGGTTTGTGAACAGTCTGGCAGGTTGGGGATGGATGGACGGGGGGGAAAAAAAACAAGTACAGCAAAATATTAACCATGGTAGAATTGACATGGGGGTATATGGGTGTTCACTGTATAATTCTTTCAATTTTTCTATATGTTTGGACTTTTTTTCCATATAAAGTAACAGGGAAGACAGAGAAAAAATTGCCTGGAAAATAGTAGACACTCCTAAGTATAGGGCGTTGGGAGTGTAATCCCTTTCCAGGAGAATCTATATTTCAAATGCCCTGAGAGGACAGTGTTTATCCTGAAAGATGACAGCTTGCAGGTAAGAGCACCTGCAGAACACCCAAGGAGGGGAGGGAGAACCTTAGACCACACCAGAAGTGATTAGTAACTTTGCCCACCCAAAGCTTCTGGTCCCTTTTCTCAAGTTTATTCTGCCTGTCCTGAGATCTGGGCCTTGGCCCCAAGTGGACCCCACATTGTGACCTGTAACCCTTGGGCGGAGAGGCAGGATAAGAAGTTCCAGACCCTGCCTGACAATCGACCCTAAGAGACTGATCATATTTGCTCAGGAGGTGAGGTTCACACGACAAAGAGCAGGGGGAGGGCTTGGACCTGGTATAAAAGATCTGAAAGTTTCAGGGGGGTTACTTTGCACTTGAAACTGCCAGGTGAGGGGTGACAGAGGCCTGAGCTAACGGGTGACAGGGATGGCTGGCTTCGAGTTAGGGGGAATTCTAGCTGAGCTGGACAGGAAACTGCCTGGATTGAGCAGCAGGGGAGACCTGTGTGTCAGCTAACTGGCGCCTCTGCATCCGAGTGAGGTGCAAAAATATCTGGGTCTCGGTGGAAGGACTGGGGATGCCTGAGATGTTCGGGGTCATCGATGTGGCCGGATCTGTGTTAGTGGAGAAAGAATGACACACAGAGCAGGCATCTGGCATCTACTATCTTGAGCTGGTCCAAACTCCTTCCGCAATCTCTCAGTCTGTATCCACCTCTGCTTGAACTACTCTGATGGTGGCACAGTCTCATCTATCATCAACTCCACTCCCTGGGTGACACAGAGACGCAACTCTAAAATGCTCCTTTCCTTCTGATCAGAGACCAGCGCAAAGCTAAGAATTTGAACTCTGCCCCAGATGTCCCCCAAGCCAGGCCAGTCCATCACAGGCCGATTTCAGTTAGGTTTTGCTCAGACTCCTCCTGGTTTGGGAAACTCAACCATCTCTATGATTTGGAGATGGTCTCTACTTCTTTGCAAACTCTTTTCCTGCTTTGTGCCAGGAGGGAACAGGACTTAACACAGCTTGGTCCAGATAGAGGGTTAGGATTGATCTTCTGATCTGGGATGGAAGAAGGGAGTTGGCTACCTCCAGACCAGGGAGGACAGAAGGGTTAAGGACACAGAAGACAGTCTTCTAGGAGCAGGACCAGAGACTAGGGACAATCCTTTCTAAACCCAAGACTGGGTCAGTTAGGTCTCAGTTGAAGGACAAAGAAGACTGAGTCTCAACTGGAGGTCAGGGATGCCTGGCTAAATGAAGTCCAGAAGAAAAAGGCTAACCCTTGACTTTCTCCTTTCTTTCCACTTCAGCGCCAGGATGTTGACCATTGCTCTTCTTGCCCTTCTCTGTGCATCCGCCTCGGCCAGTGCCAGTAAGTGAGAAGCCAGGAGCCCAGCACTAGTGTCATGGGAAGGCAGCCTCCTGCACTGCTGGTGGCCAAGCTGGCTTGGAGTGGTGGGCACTGAGTTGTGGGAGGTATAGGGATGGTGGGGAGAAACTGAGCTCTTGAGATTTCTCCTTCCGACTCCTGCTGTCCCCTCCAGTTCAGGCTAGGTCCTCCTCCTCCAATGGAGCTTATGGAGGCAGTGGAGGGCAGCGATTCTCCCATTCTGGTTACCAGCTGGCAGGCCCCATCACTGCCATCCGTATCCGGGTCAACAGATACTACATCGTAGGATAAGATTCTTTGTGTTTCTCTGGGTTTGGGGATCCTCTCTGATCTTGCTAAACTGGAAAGTTCTCAGTCACTTTGGGTTATGTCTGTTCCAGTCAGCAAGTCCCAATGATAGTATGTGACAGTGGTTAGAGGACAGAGATCTGAGGCCAGCACTGCCACAGCCTCCAGCACACGCAACCTTGGGCAGATCATATACCATAGCTGTTCAGGCGCCTGGAAGGTGGCTGGTTTGGCCCCGTCCAAGGTGTAAGGCCCCTCTGGCATCCTCCATCTTTGCTGATGCGTCTTCCAAAAATGTGTATCCTTCTGATCCTGGACTATATCCTGGGACAACAAAGTCTCTGCCCTCATGAGAACCTTCCAGAAAGATCCCTCTGCTCCTTTCACATGGTGCAGGGGGTGTGGGCGGG